AGCTCCCAGAAAAACAGCGCCCACCGGCCTTCAGCAGCCAGGGGCCGGCCCCGCTGCTCTCCAGCCTCTGCCGGCGACTGGCAACCTCGCACGTGTGGAGCCTGTTAACCTGTAAGTGCTTGCCGTCGAGTGTGCATGTGTGTGTCCGCGTGTGCACATTCACATGTTCATCAGACCATTTGCAACGACTCTGCCTCTCTCGCCTCCACTTTTCAGGCCACTCTCATGGTCAAATATTTGCCATGGTTTGGATTTTTTCTCCGGACCATGGAGATGCTGTCCTAACCCTCCACAGGGAAAAGCCATTTTCTCTGCCAAACGTAACTGGGATTGAGAGGAAGGATGCTGATCCTGTGCGGCCTCCTGCAGGCGCTCATCCGGTCTTCCCCGGCTCCACATGAACGTGCATGGGCCTCAGAGGAGCGGCGACTGTCGGCTTCATTCTCCACGCGTCACCATGTGTTAGTAATTACAGTGAGAGGTGGGTTGGCCACGGACAGAGTCACCATCCCAAAAATCCAGATGAGGAGCCTGAGACTCCATGCTGCTGGACCGTGTCCTCCTGGGACATCACACGGCAGAGGCTGACCACGACACTGCTGAAATCTGCTGCAGCCTCCACCGCGTCTGCTCTCTGAATGTATTTTCTATTTAGTGAAGTTTTAAATCACTGGGTTGGACACTTTCCCGTCCCCGGGGAAACTCCCACAGGGTGTGCGCAGCAGCTGAATTCCTAAGCAGCTCACTCCGACGCAGGTCTCGCACAGGTTGGCCCCTGAGTGCGTCCTTGCACTCGCCTGGGTGGGGCCTGCCTGCGCAGCAAGCCCTCCCCCTTGGTCCCGACCTCCCCCTGATGACCTCAGGGCCCCTCGCTCCTCCCCACCGTGTCGCACACCTCAGAGCCTCTTCCCAACACCTTTGCTGTCCCTTCCAGGAAACCCCCTCTCCATCTCCTGCCAGATCCTTGTCTCTCCTTCTGCTTCTTTCCCACGGAAGGCTGGATGGTGGGGAAGTGACCTAGACAGGACTCAGAGGTCAGAACTGTCCACCCGCTGTTCACAATGCTGGTGCACCCTCCTTCCAGCTGGCTCTCTCCCAGGCACCCCTGGGCACCCCTGGCTTGCTCCTCTGTGCAGTCACCATTCTAGGTGTAGGGAACACACAACGAAACCCCACTCTTAGGCTGAGGCACCCTGACATCAGGTCCCAGGACGGTGGACAGTGTGGAGATGAACAGCGGAGGGTGACTCTGGTACCTCATGCCCGTTCCCATCCCAGAGACCCTCCTGGGGCCCAGAGTCACCTGTTTGGTTTTGGAGTGGCGCCCGGATCAACATTTTTAGGAGACTACGAGAGCCTCTGCTGACCATCCCACCTACCCATCCACCCATCCACTGACTGTCATCCTACCTACCATGTATCCTTCTCCCCCCCGCCCCGCCCCCATACCCTTGCTCATCTGTAGGGCTCTCTGTATATCACTTTCCCATTCCCGATGCTGCTTCCCATCTACCCAGCACTGCACCCTCACCACGGCCCATCGCCAGGCCCAGGCGCATCCTCCTCAGTGGGCAGGTGAGGAACCTGGAGCTTGGAAACAGGGAACTTGCTTCGTGACGAACAGTGAGGACCCGAACCTGGCGCCATCCTACCACTCAGAGTCTTCATTCTGCATCTGAGTGGCCTCTGGGTGAGACCCTCGAGAGCCTCTGACTGGGTTAGAGTTACAGGGTCCAACCACGGGCAGCCAGCCCTCCCCGAGGTGGACATGAAGGTGTTGAGAGAAAGAGGCATGGCATCTACTCAAACACCAGAACAGCTTCCTTCTGTGCTTCTTGCAAATACAGGTTTTGGGAAAATGAACTCGTGTTTAGTCCTCAGTTGCCCCATGTGTCAAACCAGGGAGCTCCCAGAACCTTCTAGCTGGTGCTGAGGTGTGCTTCCACCAGGAGGGTGGCCATCAACATCACCCTCTCCCCTACAGGATCCACCACCCCACCGCCAGCTCTTCTACAACCTCACCCAGCCCCAGGCCAGCCCAGCGCATGACATGTTTGTTCTCCCTTCCCGGTGGAGGGCTGGACTCGCATCATCCTCTCTGGGCCTGGGCCGCTGGGGTGAGCCAGCGAGCCCGGGCCCACGCACCTCTCTCGGACCGCCGCGCTCAGCACTTAGGCTTTCTGGGAACCACTGTCCAGAACTCTGGGTTCATGGAGCTGCAATTTCCCTGTGTTGTTGGAGGTGGGGGGGGGGCATCAGTTATCCTTAATAACCAGGCAGACGACAGGACAGCTTTGCCCTCGGCTCTTAATAGCAAAGAGTGGTCTCCCTCTCCCTCTCTTCTTAGAATAGCAATTCCACTGACTCCATTACTGAAATGGCTCTTGCCTTCCATGCCCTGTCCAAGTTGCTATGTCGTTGTTTTATTGCTTCTCTGAAAAGCTCCTACTAATTAAGGTGAAAGCCAGATACAGATGGGGCTGGGCTGCAGCGCGAGGTACAGGCCCCTCACTGAGCTGGCTGTGTGGGCTTCACTCGGGGCCCTGTGCTGCCACCTCCTCCTTGCCCAGGGCTCCTGGCCTCCCTTGAGAATTCACCAAGGCCTGCACCATCAACCCAAGAACTGGGACGTTTGCCAACCAGAAGGGGCTAGAGGGAGAGACCAGACTGCCCCTCAGGACTCTCAGTCAGGCCTGTGTGCAGACAGTGGGAGCAAAGTCCCCACCAGCTTGGGACCTCGGGTAAACGTCCGCCTGTGTCCTGGTCTCACAGAAGTGCTCAAGGCAGCCCCAGCCACCCAGGGGCTGCGCATTCAGTGGAGGAAGTGGGACATACATCTCTCCATCTGGGAACCGCAAACCACACCTGAGCCAGAGGATGTCCAGGGTCCCAGGGCCATGCAGCCAGTCAGGTCCGGGCTGTGCAGGGGATGGCCACTCTGCTGGGGCCAGGGGAGGGGAGGCCAGGAGAGTTTTCTGGAGTCAGGAGACAGTAGACCAAGGCCTTGAGGGCCAAGTCAAAGGAGAACAAGAGAGAAAGAGGAGCAATGGGCCCCCCCATTTCCTGAGGGCAGTGGAGAAGGAACCCCTGTGTAGGGGGTGAGCAGAATGAGGCCAGCAGGAATTAGAGGCTAGTGCCAAGCTCAGGTTTGGGGGTGGAGGGGCCTCTGAAATCCAGGCTAAAGAGGGGGATGTCTCCCTGAGCATCAGTGTCTGCTCAGGCCTGGCCCTCTTCCGACGCCGCTCTCTGGCCGCAGTAGAAACACTCAGCCGCTGGTCCCGCCAAGTCGCTCTCAGAGGACGAGGTGCCCGAAGCGCTCCTGGCAATGGTGCTCATGCTGTTTGGCGCACGGACAGCGGACCGGGCCCTCCACCTGCGGAAACCGCAATCGGGAAGCGTGCTTTCATCTCGCCGGGCAGGCATCACTGAGGGACCTTTGCTGCCTTATCTGGCCTCCTTTCTCTTTGTCCCCAAAATAAATAAAAAAATTAAAGAAAGACCCACCTGCCAGGGAAGCATCTGCAATTCCAAAGGAGTGAGAGGTGGGAGGCTCGACAGCTGATGCATCTGGGCTGAGCTTGTCTATCAGCTTGAGGAATATTTATCGGCCTCATCAACTTCCTCCAGCGAGACTCCCCCAGGGACCACTCTAGCTCAGCCCAGCCGCACTCTCCCCTCCCTACAAAAAAGGCAAACACCGGGCCTGCCAGGGAAGGGACAAGGCGGTGCCCAGACCCGCTGAGAATGGCGGGCACACAAGGTGGCATCAACCTACTGCCCCCAGGCCTGGGGCTCTAAGCCCAGATTTGGAGACATAACCCCCACCACCACCACCACCACCACTATGGGTGCACCCCGGGGTCTCACACCAAATTTCTCTCTGGGCAGAGATATTTGCTGCAAGCTTTCTGGGGGCTCATTTCTCCCCGTTCTGCCAAGAGGAATGTCAAGAGCTTCCCAAGGCCCCTCTGACGAGGCAGATTGGTTGGCCCAATGAAGAAGATTTAAGGATTATCTTAATAATAAATCAGCAGCCAGGCAGCAGGCAGCCTAGAGGGGCGAGATTTCAGCACCTGCAGCTGTGGCTGTGGCTTCTTTGTCAAGAACAGATGAGGGGAAAATAAAAACTCGCCTTTTACAGGAAACCAAAGGGAGTCCAGGTGTCCCCAGGGGTCACCTGCAAATCAAATCATTTGGTGAAAGGTAGTTTTATTTTTTCTTCCTTTCTCCCCAAATAACAACAATTCTTGAAAGAATAACCCCAGTTCTCCTCTTGGCTTTGATGAACCCAGGGAGCTGTGTGGGTCCTGAGGGTCCCAGCGGCTGCCCGGAGGCCCCTCCTCCTCGGTGGGAGGTGCACGCCAGCCATGGCCGGTTCACCAGCATCTCGGGCATCTGCAGGTTTCATCTCAGTTCTGTGGCTCAGGCCTGGGCCTGGTAAAACGCACCTGTTTCGGCCTGTGTGCCTATGAGGTCAAGTGCGGCTCCCCAAATTGGATCCCTGGCAATTTTCTGACCAAAACCTTCAACTTCATCAACCTCATCTTGTTCAACAGGTGAGGAGACAACCAACTTCATACACATCTGGCTGGGACTCGCCAGGAGCGGCAGGGCCCCTCCAGGAGGGCCCCGCTGGCTGTTTACATGTTCTCCGGACTCTCTCCTCTCTTCACTTGGCTCACACTCGTCTCTCACGAACGCCTTCTCCTCTCCGCTCCACGTTGGGGGCAGACACCGAAGCTTGAAACACGGAGTTGGGGGCATCGTCACCTCGCTGTGGTTTTCCTCGTGTGGCTCCCTGGTTTTCACGTCCCTGCCGAAGACGGTGGGTGACTGGCCAGCCAGCTGTGCCCGTGTCTGTCGATCGCATCAGTGCTCACGAGGGGTTTGCAGTGCAGGAGGAAGGGGGTGATGCTTCGGGAGGGGCTTGCCGGCACCTGCTCCCCAAGCTGTGGTGCTGCGTGTGGATTCAGAGCTCAGACCTGCCACTGCCCTTTGTTCTTGCTGTCCTTCTCCCGACATACCCTTCCCATCTCCCACACCTGCCGCCTCTTCTCCAGGTCTGGCCTCTGAGCGTCCCTGAGCACCTCTGCTCACCCCAGCTGTGCGTCACCCAGAGAGAATGGAGCCCCTTGAGCACAGGGCGCGATTCTGTGCCCCTCTGCCTCCGTCGGCAGCACCCCACTGTCCTCCTTTCTCTCGGACCCCAATTTCCCATGAGCTCCCAGCAGCAGAACCTGGTCCTCTTCAGACACAGACCATGACCGGCTGACCCAGCAACCCCACTGCCTCTCAAGCTCAAAGAAACCACCCGGCATCCAGTTCCCACTGTGTGTTCCTTCCCGATTCCTACCAGACGGCAAGACTGTGTAACACGGCAATTGTTAAAGCGGGACGGACCTGGCACAGGAAAGGGAGGCGAAATCAATGCAACAAGAGCATGAAGACGAACCCCAATGACGATGAGCGACGGCGCCCTGTCCAGAAGCAGGTCCCCTTTTCCTCACGTTGCTCCGCAGCCTGCATGCAGTTCCTAGCAAACTACAAACCCCAGGACCTCATTCTCACCAAGAGCCAAAGACACGCCAGTCTGCTATGGGGCATCAATCCCGCCAACCGAGCAGCTATGGTCAGGGAACTAGCCAACGCCACCTGCATCTCCATCACCATTTGTCTCCATCACCACCTGCATCTACATCACCATCTCCATCTCCATCACCACCTCCATCTGTACCATCCAGAAGAAACCTGGCATCATCCAATCCACAGCGCTGTCTGAACCCCCTGCTGTTCGTGGATCTCACCGATAAACATTAGGAAGCTCTGAGCCACATTTCAAAAATGATCATAACGACTGACCTTAAAAGAGGACCACGGAGGGATCGGGAACTGTGTCCGGATGTCTGTCCTTCTTTCCTTCCTTCCCTTTCCTCCTTGCTGTCTTCTGTTCTCTTCTCTCTTTCAAAAAACAATTTCTATTTTGAGTTTATCCATTGTTGCCAGTCTTTCATTATGATTAACATTTTAGGATTAATTTACTCTTGTTTTTTTAATTTTATAAAAGTATAATTGAGAGACATTGAGGAAAGTCTGCACGTATGTATATATATATATGTATAAGTAAAATAAGTGCAAAGTTGGTAACTTTTCACAAGCAGAAAACATGTGTAACCAGCACCCAGATCAAGAAACAGAACTTCCTGTCCCCTTCAGAGCACCTCACATCCCCTCAGCTCCACCCTGCTCCCAAGGGAAGCCACCACCTGGACTTCTAACAACACAGATTAGGTTTTATTCTATTTAATTTATTTGTTTTTAAAATCAGTCACTGTGATTTGTTTTATTTTGTGAGACACAATACCAGAATAAATCAAATACCATTTGTTTTAGTTTTAATAGGATTAGAAAGAACATGTTTCAAAAGTAGACTTGCTGAGGGACAAACTATGTTACTTGTCCCAAAATTATTTTGACATTATGTTAATAGACTAATGTGTGCTCTTTTAATTATTATCTTTTTACTTTATGGTCTATTTGTGTAATGCTATAGATTTTCTGAGGAACAACTTTGGAACATTAAATGGGGTATATGAAAGCATAAGTATGCCAGCTGAAGGTCGAACAATATGTATTCGTAATAACATTTTTATTGAGGCTAAATTTATATACAGTAAACTCACAATTTGATGAGTTTTGAGTAATGTAAATACCCCTGTAACAACCACTCCAATCAAGACAGCTATTTCTATTGTTCCAGAAAGTTTCCTTCTAGCTCATACTGACTACAACCACTGTTCTTATCAATTATTGTAAATCAATCTTCCCTGTTCATGACCTACATATACATGTAATCACAGAATATGTACTCATTTGTACAACACACTGCTTTTCAGATTCATCTATATTACTGCAGGTATTGGCTGGCTGTTCTTTTCTTTGACCAAGTAGCATCTCATTGTATAAATATATACAATTTAGTCACTCACCTATTCATAGACACTTGTGTTGTGCCCATGTTTATGGATACATGTTCTCCTTTTTCTTGAGCAAACACCTAGTATTGGAATTGTTTCCTGATGGGGTAGTTGTATGTTTAACTTTCTAAGAAACTTAGAAACCGTTTCCAAAGTAGGTACATCATCTGGCACTCCCAGCAGCAACGCATGGGAGTTCTACTTCCTCCACATCCTCGCCAACAGCCGATATTAGCAATCCTCTGAGTCGTGACCGTTCTGATGGATGTGAGTGGTATCTCATTGTGCTTTTTAAAACTGTGTTTCCCTGATGACTGATAATATCCACTTTACATATGCTTATTGTCCATTTGTGTATCTTCTTTTGTGAAGTGCCTTTTTAAGTCATGTTCTGTTGTGTGTTTTTCTGTTATTGAATTGTAAGAATTCTTTAAATATTCTGATGTAAATCCTCTGTCAGATCTATGCATTAAAAATATATTCTCCTAATCTGTGACATGCCTTTTCATATTCTCAATGTTGAATTTTGATGAGCAGAGGTTTTTAATCTTGCAGTCTAATTTGTTAATATTTCTTTTTGTGGTTAGTACTTTTTGTGTCCTCTTTAAGAAATTTTTGCCTACCTCAAGTTCATGAAGATATTCTTGTATGTACTCTGCTGGAATCTTTATACTTTTAGCTTTTATGTTTAGGTCTATGATCTAGGTCTAATTTTTATGTGTGTTGTGAAGTATACTTTTTAAAATCCTCACTCGAGGATATTTTTTCTATTGATTTCTAGAGTGAGTGGAGGGAGGGAGGGAGGAGAGAGGAAGAGAGAGAGAGAGAGAGAGAGAGAGAGAGAGAGAGAGAGAGGGAGAGAGAGAGAGAGACATAGACATGAGACACACACATAGATTGGTTGCCTCCCGCAGGCATGCAACCAGGGCCAGGGATTGAGCTTGCAACTGAGGTATAAGCCCTTGACTGGGAAATCAAACCCGGGACCCTTTTGGTCCATGGGCCAATGCTCTAACCACTGAGCCACCGGCCAGGGCAAGACTTATTTTTTGAACACATTTTCCTAATCCTCTAGGAAATATCTGCTAAAAATTATTTCTTTCTCATTGAAGGTGCCATTGCCTTTGTAAAAAAAAAATCAGTTGATTGTAAATCTATCTCTGGGTTCTTTATTATAATCCATTGGTCCATTTCTCTATGATTTCAATACCACACCATTTTGATTACTGTCGCTATTGATACATTTTAAAGTCAGGAGTTCTATTTCAGTGATGGCGAACCTTTTGAGCTCGGCGTGTCAGCATTTTGGAAAACCCTAACTTAACTCTGGTGCCGTGTCACATATAGAAATTTTTTGATATTTGCAACCATAGTAAAACAAAGACATATTTTTGATATTTATTTTATATATTTAAATGCCATTTAACAAAGAAAAATCAACCAAAAAAATGAGTTCACGTGTCACCTCTGACATGTGTGTCATAGGTTCGCCATCACTGTCCTATTTGGTTGTTTAATTTTCAAGATTGTTTTGGCTATTCTAGGTCCTTTGTATTTGCATTGAAATTTTAGAAACAACTTGTCAATTGTACAAAAAACCTTGTTGATATTTGGATTGGAATTGTGTTGGAACTATAAACAACCATAATCCAATTTGGAGAGAAGTTTCAACAATATTGAGTCTCAAAGTCATGAACATGGTTTATCTATCCATTTAGATCTTTAACTTCTCTTAGCATTGTTTTCTACTTTTTAATATATAGGTCTTACATACCTTTAGTTAAAGTTATAATTAAGTATTTTATGTTATTATCAATGGAATTGTTTTAAATTTTCATTTCCAATTATTTGCTGCTGGAAAAAATTGATTGAGTTTACATATTGAGTTTGTATCCTATGACCTTATTAAAGGTATTTATCACTCCTAGTAATATTTTTATATATTCTTTAAATTTTTTCACATAAATAATTATGACATCTATAAGTATAGGGAGGCTTGTTGTTTCTTTCCAGTCTCTACAACTTTTATTTTTCTTGCCTATGACACTAGCTAGGCATTTCAGTACAGTGTGGAATGAGAATGATGAGAATAGACATTCTTGCCTTGTTTCCAATCTTAGGAGAAAAGCTTGTAATATTTCAGCAATAAATATGATGTTAACTAGAATTTTCATATGTCCCTTATCAAGGAAAAGTTCTCTTCTTGTCCTAGTTTGCTGACAGTTTTGGTCATGAATAGGCACTAAATTCTGTCAGGTACCTTTTCTGTATCTTTTAAAATGATCATATGGTTTTACTCATTTGTTTTGTTAATGTGATGAATTATATCAGTTGGTTTTTAAATGTCATATCTTTGCATTTCTTCCTTGGACAAACTACTTAATTATGATGTATTACCATTATATGTATCACTGGGTTTAATTTTCTAATATTATGTTAGGGATTCTTTGCATCTGTTTCATGAGGAATTTTGGTCTGTAGTTTTTTTATAATGTCTCTGTCAGGTTATGGTATCAGGATTAGGCTGGCTTCCTGAATGAAAGAGTTTGTGTCAGAGTAGTATTATTTCTCCCCTGTGTGTTTGGTAGTGATCACTAGTAAGGCACTCTGGACCTGGATTTCCTTGTGGGAAGAATCCAATAACAATTCAATTTCATTCATAGATATTGGGCCATTCAAAGTATCTACTTCAAGTTGTATCAGTTTTGGTAACTGGTGTTTTTCAAGGAATTGGTCCACCTCATATAAGTTTCAAACTCACTGGCATAGAGCCTCCCAAAATAATTATTTTATGTCTGTTGAATCTATAATGATATTCTCTCTTTAATTTCTGATACTGGTAATTGGTTAGTCCCCACCCCCTTTTATCTTGATCAGTTCTTCTAGGGATTTTAGAAGAGCTTTATTAGGTATAACTGACATACCTTATGTATAAACTGCACAATCTGATGAATACTGACATACATATACATCCATGAAACCATCACCATAATCAAGATAATAAATATTTCCATCACCTAAAAGTTTACTCAGGCCTCACTGTGATTCCTCTCCCTTCACCTCCACCTCCACCTCCATGCTTTCTGTAACTAAAGATCAGTTTATATTTTCTAGAAGTTTATATAGATAAATATATAGTATATATCAGGGGTGGGCAAACTTTTTGACTCGAGGGCCACAATGGGTTCTTAAACTGGACCGGAGGGCCGGAACAAAAGCATGGATGGAGTGTTTGTGTGAACTAATATAAATTCAAAGTAAACATCATTACATAAAAGGGTACGGTCTTTTTTGTTTTTTTAGTTTTATTCATTTCAAACGGGCCGGATCCGGCCCGCGGGCCGTAGTTTGCCCACGGCTGGTATATATGGTACTATTGGAGCTGGCTTCTTTCATTCAGCATCATGATTTTGAGATTCATTCATCCATACTAGTGCATGGGTCACAAGCCTGTTCTTTTTTATGGATGTATAGTATTATATTATAAAGAAATACCAACATTCATTTCTTTGTTCACCTGGACATTTGAGTTGTTGCCAGTTTTAATCAATAAAACAAATATGAACATTCACGTGTAAGCCTCTGTATGCCTTCATTTCTCTACCTTGAAGTAGAATGATTGGATTGTGTGGTAGGTTTTCTTTAACTTTTAAGAAATTATCAAAATATTTTCCAAAGGAATTGTGCGATTTTAAATTCTCACCAGCACTGTCTGAGAATTCCAGTTGTTCTGTGCCCTCTCCAACATTCTGTGGTCAGTTTAAACATTTCAGACATTCTAATGGCTAAAACAACCTTTAATAGGATCGTTTTTAAATTATAGTTTTAATTTTATCATATTGTTTTAATTTGCAGTTACTGAAAAATGATGTTCAACATCCTTTCATGTGTTTATTTGCCATCTATATATCTTCTTCAGTGAAGTGTCTGTTCAAATCTTTAGGCCATTTTAAAGTTGGTTGTTTGTCTTCTTGTTAAAGAGTT